CCACCCTGTTTCTTCTGAAGTCTAAAATCATCTCCTTTGTTTTGTTCACGTTCAAGGTCAGATGATTGTTTCCACACCATGCCACAAAGCGCTCCACCAGCTCTCTGTACTCAGCTTCCTGTCCTTCTCTGATACACCCGACGACTGCAGAGTCATCTGAGTATTTCTGTAGATGACAGGTCTCTGATTTGTACTGGAAGTCTGAGGTGTACAGGGTGAAAAGGAATGGTGAGAGTACAGTCCCCTGTGGTGCTCCAATGTTACTGATCGCCTGGTTTGATGTGCAGTTCTTCAGCCTCACAAACTGTGATCTGTTTGTCAGGTAGTCTTTAATCCAGGCGATAGTTGAGGCCCCCACCTGTGTCTTCTGGAGTTTCTGGCAAAGTACGTCAGGCTGGATTGTGTTAAATGCACTGGAGAAATCAAAGAACATGACCCTCACAGTGCTGCCTGCTTTGTCCAGATGACAGTGGGTTGGTTGAAGCAGCTGGATGATGGCATCTTCAACTCCAACTCCATGGCAATAAGCAAACGGCAGCAGGTCCTGATATGTTCTAGTTTGCTTATTCAGGTGGACCAACAGGAGTCTCTCCAGGACCTTCATGATGTGGGATGTCAGGGCAACCGGTCTGTAGTCGTCATTGACTGATGGGCGAGTTTTCTTTGGAACTGGAACAAGGCAGGATGTCTTCCGCAGGACTGGAACCTTCTCCTGGGCCAGGCTGAGGTTGAAGAGGTGCTGCAGAATCCCACAGAGCTGCTCTCCACAGGCCTTCAGTACTCTGGGGCTGACACCATCTGGACCTGCAGCCTTGTTCCTGTTCAGTCTCTCCAGCTGCCTCTTCACCTGACTTCTAGAGACAGATAGGTGGGAGGGGGAGGTAAATGGGGCAGCAGCATCTCCTGACTTGGTTGAAGACAGATTTATAGAACCAGAAGAGTCCATGACTGCGTTAGAGGACAAAAGAGCTGGCGTATGACAGTAAAATGTTGGATCAGAGGAGGATGGGATGTCTGATTGGCTGGGGACAGGCGAGGAGGATGCTGGGTTTGTTCCTGAACTGAACCTATTGAACTTGTTCAGTTCATTGGCTGTGTCCAGGCTGCCATCTGTGCAATCCTTCCTCTGCTTGAAACCTGTGATCTTCTTCATCCCTGACCAGACATCTCTGATATTGTTCCTCTGTAGTTTGTTCTCCAGCTTCTTCCTGTATGCCTCCTTGCCGTCTCTGATCTTGATCTTCAGTTGCTTCTGTATACTCCTCAATAATTCCTGTCTCCCTCCTTGACGGCTCTTTTCTCGCAGTTAGCAGATTCTTCAGTTCACTGGTGATCCAGGGTTTGTTACTAGCTAAGCATCTCACTGTTCTGGTGGGTATGATGTTGTACACACCGAAGTTTATATAGTCAGTGACACATCCAGTCATGGCATTGATGTCCTCTTCATATCCTTGGTAGAGAGTCATCCAATCTGTGGTCTCAAAACAACCATGCAGGGCTTCTTCAGCATCCTGTGACCATTTTCTAACAGTTCTTCTTGTCACAGCTTGCCTCTGAACAAGTGGTTTGTATTTTGAGCAGAGAAAAACAAGATTGTGATCCGATTGTCCCAGAGGAGGTCTTGTTTTGGACATGTATGCATTCTTTACATTTGCATAACACAAATCCAATGTCTTGTTTTCTCTGGTGGAGCAGCTGACAAACTGTTGAAATGTTGGAAGTGTAGCAGAGAGCGAGGCATGATTAAAATCACCAGATATAGCCACAAATGCATTGGGGTGCTGGGTTTGTAGCTTAGCGACAACGGAACTGATGGCATCACATGCACTTTCAGCAATGGCTGAAGGTGGAATATAAATGGTTGCCAAGACAACACTGGTGAACTCTCTTGGCAAATAATATGGGTGACAACTTACTGCCAAGAGTTCAACATCTGGGCTGCAGAGACGACATTTCACTGAAACATGACCTGGATGGCACCATCTGTTGTTGACAAGCACTGCCACTCCACCTCCTTTTCTTTTCCCGCTCCTCTTCAGATCTCTGTCTGCTCGTACAGTCAGGAATCCTGGCAGAGAGACGCTGGAACCGGGGATATGGTGCTGCAGCCACGTCTCGGTGAAACACATAACACTGCAATGGTGATACTCTGGCTGAGTCCTTGAAAGGGCTTGGAGTTCATCCATCTTGTTGGCCAGTGATCTCACATTGCCTATTATGACCGATGGAAGAGATGGTTTGAATTTCCTCTTTCTCCGTCTCCGTTTTGCTCCCGCTCTCCACCCACGCTTCTTGCGTTTTAGCTCATTTGGGATTTGTGGCTTCAGTTGAGGTATTATTTCAGCCTTTCTAATGTTAATCAGCTGCTCCTGATTGTAAACAGCTTGTTGCCATGGTTACGCATCATAACAAATGCTCAAAAAGTGAAAAAATAGCAGTAAAAATCCTCTAAGCTTCACAGCACCAGAAACAGAAAAGTAAAATGTCCAAAAAATAGTTTTTCTTGAGAAACTAGATGAAAAAATCTCCAAAAAAGGCAAAACTTACATGTAGTCAACAGAGCTACTCCAACATGCAGCTACCCGGAGCAACACAGTTCCGGAAATAGGGGTGTACCACTTTCAACTTCAAACACCCTCACCCAGGCGACCCAGCTGAGGTTGATCAAACCACAGCAGCAACTGCCCACCTTGTGGCCTTCTCTGTGGCTTCACATACAGACCGGATGGTTCTCTTCCTAGCCACCCCTGCTAGCCCCAGTTGATTTAGGGCTTTACTGAGTGAGCGCCCTGCAAAACCCTACAGCCCAATTCAACTGGCTCGTAGGACGTCTCCCAGCCCTCTGCCCGGCACTTCTACTAGCTGCTGGTGCTTGGCACATTTTATTTCATTTGCCTCTTCCATGCGCTCATCCCAAAGCACAGCAAGTTAGAGAATTATCAGCTGTTTTGTTGCCTCAGAAACAATAACTACGTTTCAGCAATGTGTTTCAAGATCTTTAACTGCTTTCCCAGATTTGCTTGCAGCTGTCAAAGCAATTCAGTATGGAGACCTGACCTTGATGTTTGTTGTCAAAGAGGCTCTTCTCCAGCTTTGACAAAGGTCCTTTTTGTGTTTTGATAAATGTTTAACAGTCATTAATGAATGGCATAATGTATGCTAAAGGCTAAATAACATTTTGTGCTATAGGGAGCCTAAGTCACGGGCATTTACTTCCGGACAATGGGTCCCTTACTGCTAAAAAGGAATGGGATTGCTATGAGAGGACAAATGTTATGATTCCGTTTGATATGTTCCATGGAATTTACATATGATGTCAGTGAATTTTAAAGACACATTTTGATGTCAAGAAAGCGCTTATTTTCAGGTAAATTTATTCTAGGTTTTGTGTGAAAACAGAGGACTACAACTGCCCGTCGTCGAACCAGACACGCAGAGGAGAAGAAGAACAGCTGTGGGTTTAGCAGGCTTCACATCCTTCTTCCATGACAAAAGAAGGAGCATTAAACCACTATAAATCTGGCCATGAAGTGAAGAGCTTTTGAATTGCAGTTTTTGTTATAATGAATTTTTACAAGCTAACAAATCTTAAATTATGATTAGAAACACACATAATTATTTTTCATTAGACAACATTTGTGTGATTGAGGACGTAAAGCGGAGCAGAAAACAACTTTTATCGCTCTGTTCACTTGCATTTTTTTTTATTCCAGCGACCCATGAGCCGACCAGAAGGGGAGGACACTTGGGCTCCCTAAGGCTTGCTCCTACAAATGTTTACATGAAGACTCCCTTTGATAGTTGTGGCTATTTATTAGTGATGCACTGATATGAAATTTTTGGGCCAATACCGATATTCAATATTAAGATCACTGTTATGGCCGATAACCGATATTTGCCAATATCAAAATATTGACATTAATGCTTCTAAAATCAGAAGATTTTGTCTAGAATGAAAATTATTAAAGCTGCATTTATGTTATTATATACACACACAACACACACATTTATGCTTCTGAAATCATTACAATAACTGTCACGTGACTAAATAAATACACATCACCCCCCTCACCCTTTGAAACATAAACAAATGGAGACAAGATGGAAAAAATATCGGTTTTAATTATCGGACCGATACCGATATGTTAAAAAATGACTAACATCGGCCGATACCAATATTGATGCTGACATATTGTCCATCCCTATTTATAATGTAGTCAGAAAATAAAATACCATGTGCTAATTCATTATGTTTCCAATTTGCTTTATATGTAACGTAGCAACTTAGTCTGAAATGTTTAATATATCATTTTTAAATGAAATAAAATAAGTGAGCAGATCTGACTCATTATTTAGCAGGAAAACAGTTAGTCTTGTTTCTTTCTTGACATTGCATGACAAATCCTTATTAATTACATATATTAAGTTTTACAGGTTGAACATATATAAACGTTTTATTAGTCGTTTATAAGGGGAGCCTCATTGTAAAGTGGCGCCAAGGTGGGACAGAACAGTTTTAACGCCATCATATCTCAAAAGCAAACCTTGATTTAATCTATCTGACATGAGAGATGTGCATTCCTTCCAAAGAGTTCTGAGAAATCCAAGTCCAGTAAGAAAAACCAGTTCCTGCTGTGGGTGTAAATCAATCCCAAACCCAGAGCAGCAAAAACAGAAATAGAAGTTAAAAGCTGCAGTTTGTTGTTGTGCCTGCAGGTGGAGCCAGTGCAGAGCAGATGAACAACAGACAAGCTCAAGATTAAAGTTTAATGTAATACACAATGACGTCTGTTGATATACATGATGACGTCTGTTGAAAAAGGCTCATTATGTTGTTTAAAAATAAGCCAACACTTTACTGCCGTGAGCCAAATGCAGTGTTTGTGATGAGATCCAAATGACTTTCCCCTGAAGTAGGTCGTGACAAATGACACTTAAGTAACGCTGCAGAGACATGTGATGGGGAGTTTCGTCAGAGAAAAAGGAGTCACAAGCCTTACCGACTGGAGGTAGTCCAGCAGTTGTGTGAGCTGAAACAGTCTCTGCGTCCGGGTGGTCTCCCCGTGGTGGCTGGCCAAGCGGTCCAGCTCCTTGATGTAGGAGGTCCGCAGTTCCTCAAAACAACGCTGGCTCTTCAGGCCTTCCACTGGCACTGTGACCACAAAGCCAGAACACAACAATAACTCTCACGGACTTTATCTGTCCCATCGTTTCTATGAAACATGGCCTTGCTCCACTTTGCTCATAACTCCCTCTCGGAGTTCAAGCTACTCTGTATTTACTCTTGATACTTTAGACATGATGCCAGCTGACTCACTGATGCTGAAGAGGACCAGGGCCTTCATGCAGAGAAACTCCTCCTCAGTAACCTCCAGCTTACAGAACCTTTGAGCAAGCAGCTTCATCCTCACACAGTGTTCGTACATACTGGACACTTGCATCCGCTGGCTGGGAGGAAAGGGTCAGAAATAGACAAAAAACAGGGTGAGAGGGGAAGAAACGGGTACAAGGTGTGACAAAAGCAGGAGTGTGACGCAAGGAGATGTTCAGACTGAGTGAAATATAGAAGAAAGGAGGAGAATTAATGGCTGCCAGGGACAGAAGTGGAGAAAAATGAAGGAAGAAAAGCAGCAGGGGTGACAGAAAAATGAGTTAGATGGATAATGGAAAAAGAGAACGACAGAGAGAAATGAGGGTCAGACTCAGGGGCAGGCGTATCCATTAACCATGCAGGTAACCGGCAGACACGTTGAGCGACAGAGGTCTAATGCACAGAGAGGGAGAGTTTTGCAAATGTAGCACAAAATGCCAGAAAATTGAAAGCATCTCTGACGGGCTTGTGACTTATGGAGCGCCGAGTGTGAAGTTATACAGTAAAAATCCATTCACTCATTCATTTTCTGAACTACAACAGTGTCACAGGGAGCGGTGTGTGTGTGTGTGTGCGCAACCTGGACAGGTCACCAGACCATCACAAGGCACGGTAAAAATAAACCAGCAACTGTATTTTAACACATGTCGCTTTAAATTGCAATGTCGGAAAATAGCATTTAAAATCAAATCTAGATCTATAAAGTTGAATTTAAATATTAAGAATCAAAACTGAATAGTAAAAGTTCCAATTAAACATTTGAGTAAATATTATTTATACATACTTTATTTCAAGAATTATGCATAGATAAACACATAAATATACGAAGGTCAACCTAAATATTTAGCATCAGCTCGGTGTACAAAAAAGTTATACCTTAATTGTAAGGGGTAAAATATTAATATATGAATTTAAATATTCTTAATCAAATTTTAAGGTATAAATGGCATCAAAATGATGAAATCTAAATCTAAACTTGACCGATTTAAACAAAATATTTCAACTGCTGTGAAACAAAATTAGCATACCAAAATAAAGGCAGGGTGAGGAAATCCCTTATCTAAGGTTTAATAGAAATAATATGAGAGTACAATCAACTACAAATCATTTATTAATGCTTCTATAGTTTCCCTACACAATAAAAGATGAATGCTTATATGGATTACTATCAAAAGTACACAGAAATCTTGTATACCCCACTTTTATTTTGGTAGACAACTTTTGTTTTATGTTGGCAAAAGGAGATCTGAGGCACTCAGGAGATACAAAAATAAAAAAGCCTTTATTATTTATTAGGCTTAAATAGTTAAAAACATGAATGCTGACACGTTTCAGCCCACAGGGCCTTCGTCAGGGCTCAAAATGTTTGTGTGTTCACTCACCTTCATGTTAAAAAGGCCAATCAGTGACGCCTGCTGAAGTTGGGCAGGTAGACAGCATTCTGATTGGATGACCAGTATAACACAAAAAACTTTTTACATCTAAACAATCCTGTTGTAAGGATGAATGCTTACAAATATTAAATTTCACTTATAGAATTTGAGAAAAATTATAAATATGGTACACAAATGGTAAGAAAACCTGAGATTATAAATAAGGAGCGAAATCTAATTCTCCATTAAGACCTGGGAAATTAGTAGCTTTTCGTGTGTAAATCCAAAACGATTCGCTTTGCGAGAGTTTTTTAAGCCTATCTCCTCCTCTAATTGAATTTTTCATATGTTCAATCCCTGTGATTTTAAGAGAGTTACAGCTTCCATGATTTGTGTCTTTATAATGCACGGCCATAGGATACAGAGGATTACCAGATCTGATTGCTTGTTTGTGTTCTGCTAGTCTTGCTTTTAACTTACGTTTAGTTCTCCCAGTATAGAAGCAACCACACGGGCATTCTAGTCTGTAGACCACGAATGAAGTATTGCAATTGATAAATGTATTAATGTAAAAAGTACGTCCTGTGAAAACATCAGCAAAACAGTTAGTGTTAGTCATGTTGTCGCAGTGAACACAGTTTCCACGTTTATAGTTGCCTTTTCGAGTTGATAACCAGGTTTTTGTTGCTGTGGAGGAAGGTGACATTGAGCAAGCCGATCATTTAACGTTGGGGCTCGTCTGAGGCCCTGTCCACACGTAGCGGGGGATCTGCCAAAACGTAGATATTTTTCTACGTTTTGGCCTGTCATCCACACGAAAACGGAGTTTTTTCACACGAAAACGGATCTTTTTAAAAACTCCGGCCAAAGTGAAGATCTGCGTTTTCTCCGTTTTGGGTGTCTGCGTGTGGACAGACAAAACCGGAGTTTTAAGGTCCGCAACGTCACTTTCCGCGACAAAAAAATGCTGACATCACGTGTGCGACCTGTGTTTACACTAGCCGGTGTTGTGCCATAAATCGACTCGCTGCCAAAAAATGATTAGCCACTAAAGAAAGGAAGGGGAAAAAATCAAATCGCTGGAGAATTGTTTATTTACATTGATACGTTTACATTCAATACAGGGCGCCATTTTACATTGTTTATTTATTTTTTAGTATCATGGCTGTAACATAAAGAAAGCCAGTTCTTACCACAAACCATCTTTCAATCGCAAATATTGCAAAAAGGATTAATATATCCTCATTGTGAACGTTTAAGACAAATAGCAACACTTAAAACAACTTCCGAACTGGAAAAACTAAGCTAATCATTTTTTGGCAGCAAGTCAATTTATGGCACAACACCGGCATCATGGAAGCCCTCAGAGCTGCGAACGGGGGAAGTACTGCCGCCTACAGGTCTGGCATGTCCTTAACAACGCTTTTATCCGGGTACGTGTGGACAGAGTTTGAAGCTGATAGTAGGAGTATCTGGGAGAGCTTCCCTAAGAACACTGTCACTTTTCAGTACGTCCCAGTTTTTTGTAATTATTTTCTTGATCTTGTTGGCGTGATCACTGAATTGGGCCACAAAATAAACACCATCTGATCTTTGTAGGTTCTTCTCTTTAGGTACCAATAGCTGTTCTCTTGGCAGGCTTTTAGTCTTATTATACGCTTTGAGTATAGTTCTTTGCTGGTACCCTCTTGTTGTAAAGCTCTGGCCCATAACTGTAGCATCTCTTTCAAATTCTTCTTCTGTGTTACAAATACGTCTAAGTCTTTGAAACTGACCAGTGGGAATGTTGTTTATTAACCATGATGGATGGAAACTGTCTGCTCTGAGGATTGTATTACGGTCAGTAGGTTTTCTAAAATAGAAGTGTGTAAATCTCCATTATCAGATTTTTAAATTTTTATGTCTAGAAAATTAATTTCAGATGAGGAGAAGTCTAGGCTGAGTTTCAAACTTTGTTAGTGTTGTTCAGATATGAATGGAATTGAAGTAGTTCTGATTCTGACCCAGACCACAGCAGAATAATGTCGTCAATGCATCTTCCCCACCACATTATCTCATCAGCATAGACATTACGATCAGATAGGTTTCTTCCCAAAGTCCCATAGAAAGATTAGAGTAATTGGGTGCAAAGCATGCTCCCATTGCTGTTCCTGTTTCTGTCTAAAAAACTGGTTCTGAAACAGAAACACATGGTTACATATGGGCCATTCCCATCTGTACCGGGTCGGCCCGGGCCGGGTAGCGTAGGTTGTTTACATATCTGGGTGGCCTGGTATTTTTCCGGGCCAACCAAGGCTCATTCTCAGCCCTCTTCTCGAGGGGGTCTGCTTCAGGCCGACCAGGGCCAACACACCCACTGCTGACAGCAAACTCACACCTTCCACTAGAGCAAGCCTCTGATTGGTGGGTAGAATCAGCCCACATGGGCTTAAGGCAAGGATGTGTGGAATCAACCGGGCCAGGCTGGGGCCGACTGGGGCTACCCGGCCCGGGCCGACCCGGTACAGATGGGAATGGCCCAATAGAGTCCACTTCGCCAGCTGAAGGATGAAGGAGGATTGTTTAGATGTAAAAGTGTTTTGTGTTATACTGGCCATCCAATCAGAATGCTGTCTACCTGCCCAGCTTCAGCAGGTGTCATTGACTAGCCTTTTTAACATGAAGGTGAGTGAACATTTTGAGCCCTGACGAAGGCCCTGTGGGCTGAAACGCGTCGGCATCTATGTTTTTAACTATTTAAGCCATGCACTAATGAAGATTTTTTATTTTTGTATCTCCTGAGTGCCTCGGATCTCCTTTTGCCAACATTTATGTGGATCCCTTGGCTGAAGAGCACCAGATAAAATTTCTTACACCCCTGCAGCACTTCCAGCATTTTTTCTATTTTCAACTTTTGTTTTGTTTCATGTCAGTCTGAGTTAGCACATCAGGACACAAAAGTTCTCAAAAGTTCAAAGCAAGGAAGAAAAGACACAAATTAAAGAAAGTTTTTGATGAAGAATGGAAGGTTGGACTCATCAGCGAGGAGAAGGTAAACAAAGCAACACTCTTTAGCGCCTGTCGGCTGGTTTGTGTGTGAGGATAAAATGGAGTGCATGATCAGAGGTGATCCCACCGCGGACTTTCGTACCGTCAGACACAAAGGGACTTGGTGCAGAACACGCTTGTTCACTGTGCTGCCGGCACTAAAAAGCATTTATTGTGTGATTTAGTCAGTCTTCCTCTGAAGCTGGTATTCCTCTGAGCCCTTCTTCTCACTGATGATGACAGATGACATCTCCTGATATTGTGGCATCCCCCCCCCCCCCACCAGGGTGATTACTACAGCTGATTACCCCCAAACACACACTCCTCTGTCTGATAAAGGCACTGCGTCAAACTGGGAAAGCTTTCATGTTTTAGTCCTAAACTTTCTGATCCTTAACATCCCGGGTTCTTAGCATTAATAATAATTTAATGACTTACTCGTTGAAGACCAGGTCTGGAGCGAAGTAGAGCATGGAGCAGTTTGTGAGAGTGTAGGTCCTCCAGCCCAGAGCGAACACCATCACCCCCATCCAAGACAACTGAATCACTGACATCTGATCGTCCACGTGCAGGTCCCGGAAACCTGTCACACATGCTGTACCTTAGCAGCTATCCAACCTAACACCAACCGTCTCAGCTGAGGCATCGAACGTGGAGAGCGTCAGCAGAAGAGAGGAAACGGAGATGATTAAATACTCAGGTCTCCTCTCCTGCTTTAAACATGGACATATCCCCCTCTAGTGGTTAACATTTAAACAGGTCTGTTTGCACAAAACAAGACTGTCTGCTCCAGAGATTAACCAACAGGCCTACAAAATAATCTGGCACTGCCTGTTATCTTTTGATCTCATGACCTCGCCCAGGGCCAACAGGTTTGAGATGCTACTATATCACGCCTCTATGGCGGTGATCTTTGCTCACCTGCTCGCTCCGTTTGGCACCAGAGGAAGCTATGACAGCTATCTGGAGCAAGGGGGCATGATCAGGAAAGCCTGCTATACCAGTGTGGCTTTGGCACGGGTTACCTGGTATCGCCTTGGCCCAGCGCACCACCGTCACCAGCTGTCGCTCGCCGAGCTCGTTCAGGCTGGTGAGCAAGGACGCAGAGCTGTCCGGCTGGGCGGGGTCATGACCCGCGTTGACCACGGCCGGCTCAATGGACTGAAGGATGCTGAGCAGGGATAAGCAGGAGCGCAGACTCGGGGGGATCCTCATGGGCAGGAACTGAGGTCCAGCTGAAGAGAGGCAACAAACCAGGAGAATTACACGTATAGCAGCGTGTCTCTGGAAACACCTGCATCACTAATCCTCGCCACCTTGAGCCCTGGCAGCAGCGTTTCCAGGCTCCACAACAACATGTTTCTTGCCTGGCCTCTCGTCTCTGTCTCCATGCCCCCAGGTGGCCGGCTGCTGCTGCTGCTCCTCCTCTCCGCTCCTCGTCTGTCCGGCTCCCTTCAGCCTGCGGCCTGAATTCGCACACAGGCAGGGAGAAAACCAGCGAGCTGAATGCAGAGTCCGTTACAAGTTGTTCAGCATAACTCATGTTCAACTGTAAGACACAACGTGGAACCTATGAAAGAGATGGGATGGCCGTTTGAATTAAAGTTTGGCTTTGTTCTGATACACACGTGGGGAACGGAGGGGCTGGCCCAGATGGAGCCCACTGATCATCTCAGGGTGGCACGCCAAAAACACAACCCGTTACAGAACTTCAGGATTTTATTGATCCATATTTTTTCTATAATAATGTGATTATTTCACAAATAACTGTTTGACGGATTAACTTCGGCCTTTTTTTTAGTTTTCACAAAAATCTATCAAGTTACGACAGAAAAAAAAAAACGGAACAAAACATGATAACAAGGTATTTTGCATAAAAGGGTGTGAGTGGGCCCCCCCGGTTTTGACTTGGGTGCACCACTGGTGAGAGCTCTTGGTGACAGACCATAAAAAGGCATTAAATTAATAAATAAACGACAATTTACATAAACAGATTACTTTGTTTTAAACATTTTCAAAAGATGCACATTTTTTATGATTCACCTCAGGTGGAAACAGCCAAAATGAGGTTTGCTGATTCAGATCAAAAATGCCTTTTATCTCCATAAATGCTCTTTTAGGCTTAAACGTCAGAATAACAGGAACGGTTCGGATCCAGTGGACAAACTCTGATCCAGTCTGGCCCCAAAAATAAATAAACAACCACACGATTACCTTTCAAACTCATCCCCGACATGAAGCACCTCTTCAAGCGACAGGAGGCACAGTTTTTCCGCCTCAGCTTGTCGATGGTGCAGTCGTTCCGGCTGGCACACAGGTGGTTCTGCTTACCTGGAGGGACAGGAAAGTCCTGGAGGATGAGCGCCCAGTGGTTCCTAGGCCTCGCCAGTCATAGCAACCATATGTGTGGGTGTTTACTCATAACAAAATAACTCTCCCTCATAAAGTCAGGTCACTGTGCCCTGTCGGCATTAGACAGTAAGTGGGTGTAAGAAATTAAATCAGAGGGTGGGTTCTGTAACTCTGTCCGCGTGTCTACGTGTGCATCACGCCCACCTGCAGCGGCCCTCTTGAAGAACACTTTGCAGCTGCCGCAGGTGACCGCACCGTAGTGGCAACCCGAGGCGTCATCACCACACACTTGACACACTCTTCTTTCTGACAGATACACACCTGGAAAGAAATCTCCATGCCTGGACAAACACAGGCACAAATAATGTGATTTCAACTGAAGGAAGATCTCGAAAGACACGGCAGCTTTATCCGACACATAAAAGCATCAGATCCACAGCAAAGAGGTCAACGGGTTTGTCCTACTCAGAGATTTGGATCCCTAACCTCCTAAATCCAATTATATATTGTGCATCACTAACAACGTGAGTTAATTCACAAATGAGGGAGTTTGTTAAAAAATACTAGAGCTAGTGTTTTATTGTGAGGAATCAGTAACCCGTGGCACAGTGTATTCCTCCAGTCGGAGCCCAGAATCAGCAACAGGTGCTGTATCTCTTGTTTATGGCCACTCTGATACATTAACTCTGTCTGGGAGTCACTGGTGCAGCGAACTGCAGCACAAATAAGGACGCTTCTGGAAAAGTTGGGAGACTGGGATGAACTTTGCTGCTTCAAAAACACAACATGGCCAAGGCCAAGGGGAACACATGGAGCTGATGATTTCATGTTGATGCAAGGCAGCCTCACTCAGACAGCATGGGTCTGTGACCGGAGCATGTCGGTTTTGATCCACTTTAAAGGTTTGTGTCATGCTTTGGTGGTTGAATGAGGTCCTAATGTGACCTGTGACCTTTGACACACGTCAAAAGAAAGAATTATGGGATGCGGTGGCGCACTAGCAGACATGATTCTCTACTAATTACTGCTCCCCATTAAAGGAAATAAATGATAGTGTTTAGTGGAGCATGGTCACTTGACACGCTTTAGTTTTCGTTTATAGACGACTGGGAATTTAAAGTGGCAGGAAGCAGATGGAGAAGCAATTAAAACTGAGTTATTTACCTGAAAGTGCGATCCGTACAGTCCATCCAGACGGAAGGCTCGGTCTTGATGGTGGAAAACGCGGTTTGCCCTTGAGGAATTGCGTCTGGGTAACTTTCCACTTGGCCGTACGCCTGTGCCGCCGCGTGCATGCTCCCTTTTCCAGCCCCGTGCTCACCCCTTCTGTACCAAAGACAGTTGCATTCCCGCCTGGATCCAAAAGACGTCTGCGCACAATTACAGTATTTACACAAAGCGTTGTTGAGTCCATCGGATCCGCTTCTGCGCGGGTCGGGTCGCTCGCCGTACGCGCGCTCATTTGCGCACCAAACACCTTCCCCGTACGGACTGGAGTCGGCAGGAAAAGCGGGATATGGCTTCACAGGTACGACTTCAGTCACCTGGGAGGTCGCGGGGACCTCTCTTATCGGGCTCCCAAACACGCTCGAGTCCTTGCAGACGAATCTGGAGATGACCGAGCCGCGCGTCACGGATTGCGCACCGTCCATTTCTCCCGACCTGAACAGATCCATGCAGCTCACCTGCCGCACGCCCTGGCACACCTCTCCGTAGTCGTCCTCCCGGTGGCTGGCAACAGCCTGGGTGAGCCGGGTTCCCTCCGAGCTCAGATTCCCAGGCGTTCCCAACTCCAGCACTCCTCGGGATCCACTTCCGTCGCCCGTCGGGTCGCAGTCCGGGAAGGCGCTGCAGCCGCCGCCGGGGTGGTTCATGCCGCTGAGCGGAGACGACACGGAGTCCAAACCCAGAGACACCGACACGGCTTTGCTCAGCTCAATCGTCGGGCACGCGTAAGTCTCAGCCGTCTCCAAGCTGTCGGTCATGATTAAAGAGTTGGACGGGTCCTCTCTGTCGGACAGGCTCGAGCGAAAGGCCATCGTCGTCCTTGGAAGTTCAGAGCAGTTCGCCGAGTGCGCGGAGAACAAACAAAACTCTTTTTTCCCGGCGAGGAAAACGCCTACTGAGTGAGCCTCCACTCATGCGTCTCAGCGGATAGAGACGACGTTGCTGAGGGGAAGGGACGTCCCGCCGATCTGATCTGCGAATGAAGAGAGGAGCTGCTGCTCAACTTTCTCACAAAGTAACCATTTTCTATCGGAGCTGCGACTGAAATAGAGACGGAGCAGGCCTGGCTACTTTACGCGGCGTAGGGAACACTGTAGCAACTTATTAAGATGCCAATCGGTAACCTACCCGGTGGCCTCCCGTTATTTGGGTGAGAGACTTAATGAGTCTCGCGAGAACAGCGACGATTAGCACGTAAATCCTCTTAATGTGAATCCCCACATGTGCGTGCCGTGGTGTTTGACAGCTGTCAGGCTGCAGAAGAAGCGCGTTTTTGTTTGGCTTCAGAGCCTCGTTAGCTCCTTGTGGGGCGGCAGCGCGCGCCGGGTTCAGGCTCGAGCCGAGCTGCAGGCCTCCTGCTTTATTTCTGGACACAGCGCTGACAGTTCGGAATAAATCAAACATATCAGCACCCTGCTATGATTGCAAAGCCATTCATTATAAATTTAATAGCTACATTTGGCCACTTTTAGCATTTTCACATCAACACGTGTCAACATGTAGCACGTTTACAGCTCCATTTTACACACTTTAGCGTTTTAAATCACCTTTTATGTACATTAAGCTCATTTTTTAGTTTATTCGGCTGCATTTGGGATCAGTTCAACAACTACTGACTCAAAAATGAACTAAATAAGCCAAGCTGATCAAAAAGCTGTGCCAGTTTTAAATGATACTTCAAAAAAGAACTATATTTAGCAATATTTTACAGTTTAACAGCAATATTTCTCACATTGTAACATTTCACGTTGAGCTGCTTCTAACAAAATGAGTTATAATCTGTTTTAAGTTTCACTTTCACTTTGTACTGTTAAGGTTAACCATAAGAAGATATATTAAACACCTATTTCACATCACATCTAAGTAGAAGCTTCATGTTGAATATTAAAAATTAATATGGCTGCTAATAATCAGGCCTGCTTTACAAGGCAGAGCCGGTTCTGCCTTGTGGGAAACTACAACACAAGCTGGGTGAAGAGACTATATGAATCAGTTTAACGTGATATATGCGTCAGTTTGTTTCAAAACACATGAATAAACTGTCCTAATTATTAGGTTAACTGCTATGTTTCAATTTAGATAATTTATTTAGATAAATCTTTGTATATTTTAGGTTTTACCCTTAGTATGAAATGATGATTGAACATTTTACTGTTTTTTTTTCCTTTATAAATAAGAAAAAAAAATACTGAAATAAAATGATATTCTGATAGGTTGGTAAAAACTCACAAATTTTACAAGAATGGATCCAGTTGGATGTTGTGAAATGCAGCAAGGATTTTTGTTTTCATCAGACAAAATATATTTTTGTTAAAGTGATAATCTGTGATAATAATGCCTCACAGAAAGTGATGCTCAGTCATCTGTGTGGTGGAATACACACACACACACACACACACACACACAGATTGCATTCCTTTATACATTTTTATTTCTAAGTTAATAAAAGAATTTTGTGTTTGGACAAAACAGAAAAAGCTTCAAATCCACATTGGAAAAGTTTTCTAAAGGCAGTCAAGTCAGTCCAGGACAACTGTAATGAGAGCAGCGATGATATGAGTTTATATCTCTGACCAGATGGATGCTTTTTTCACGTGTGTGTGTGTGTGTGTGTGTGTGTGTGTGTGTGTGTGTTCCTGTATTATTAAAAATGTGACCTATTTTTAAGAACAGTTGTAATTCTCCAAGTGAAATCCCCTCAAGGGAAATATTATGGAAGATTAAAAGCAACAAAGAACATTACAATAATAATAATAATAATAACAATAGAAATCTGTCACATTTAGTTATTTCAAGACTCCTACTCTTCTAAAGTCTAGCCTGATCCTGCTCTCAGGATGGCTCAGAGGAAGCCTCTCACATGGATTCAAATTCATCAATGCGCTGTTTGGTGTTGCCCTGACGAATCATGCGCAGGGTCTTGTATTTGTCTCGGCCTGCCCTCACGTTCTCAGCGTGGATCAGGTCATTGGGGGTCTTTTTGCTCTCGTCCACAGCTCTGGCCAGCTCGGTGCTCAGGAACTGAAAGAAGAAGCAGACAAGAATAGAGTTCTCTTGGCTGAGACTATTCAGAAAACCTCCACTATACTTTCTGAGTTCTGTTAAAAACACTATTGTCAACAGTTATTAAGACCATTTTGTGTTGGGTCACATAAACAACATGATATCTTGTTCCGGCGGTGAGACCGAGACGAGTCCTGCACTCTGGATAAAACCAAAACAACGATAATGCACCAGTGCAACGTACCGGTGCAATGATGTTTAATTAGGTAAAGTGCACTTAGTTCTGGTGGAGCACAATTTGTGAAAGTAATTACTCTGACATCTTTACATGAGAGTAAAACAGCATCGCTGCAAGCAAACAGCAGAGAACATACCAAACGGCTTAAATCATAAACTGGGTGACACGGGACACGCAAGCAGGAACCTGCTGACACGGGAAAGCTACAAGACAGGTCATCTTCCTGAACGTCAACGCGGAACATTACAGCCCTCATTATTCGTTCAGAAAACCAAAAGTTTTACAGTGAGTCACATGTTTACGCTGCCTTTATTTATTTAATTATGGCATCCAGATCTCAATACAGGACACGTTTCCCATGGAGGAGTCACGGGGAGAGGTACTAACACACGTTAGTTAATACACATATAATGCATATGTAACTACTCTACACATTTTGAAACATTAATAGGAATAAGTGTACTTTTTTCAAAATAAAACACCATGCAGACCCGTGGTTGTGAAATAAATGCCCATTTATTTTGAATGAGCGTGAATATCACCAGCAGCAGTGAAATCCAGCACTTCTGGCGCAGTCAGAGGTCAAATCTAATGAGCCTGTAGAAATGACAGCATGATGCAAAACCAACATGAACGTTTGTAATATTTCGTTTTGGTAGAAATTTTAAAGAAACTTCTGCTGAATTTGAAGCCCAGATGCAACAGGAAGTACGGTGTCACTGCGGCTGGTTGTGTTTGCATAAAAGTATTAACTCGTGTGTTTGCTGCGTGTAATTTGTTGGAATGTAATCTTTACACGGTCGTAATTAGAAATCCTTACGAATGTTGTTTTAGTTTGGACTTGAGCTAACTCTGTGGCCATCTGCTGTTGGAGCAAAATCTTTGTATTCACACTGACGCCATGTTTTTGCTGTTATGGTAGCCTCGTTCCAGTTGATTATTAAGTTTAGCAACTGTTCTAAAATCCACATCCGTTCACCCACTGCCTCATCAGTCTCACCGTTCACCAAAGAGCGCTGTCTATTTCACAAAACATCTTTCTCAGAAACCAATTTTCTGGCTTTTTAAACTAATTTGCTGCTCTTCTGAAAGCCCCACGCCGCTCTATAACTGCTGACCCTTCAGCTGAGCAGAAATCTGTAAAAGCAGGAGGCCTGATTACATTCCAGTGGTCTCTAACCTTGAGGTTTTTCTGCAGTCGCTGGTTCTTCTGCGTCTCGGTTACCCTCTCCTCCTCGCTGCGGTCTTGGACCATGCACGGAGCAGTCAGCTCAGCGCTCGCCTCTGCGCTGCTCTCATCTGTCTCGTCGTGCTCCAGCATTTGAGGGTGGACTGAATTCTGGATTTGGACCCCTATCAGTTTAGTCTTCAGCTCCTCTTTGGTTCGCTCCAAATCTGCTTCCACCACGATGGCCTGCAACACGCAAACAAGCTGAAGTGAATTCTCGGATGTCAGACAGTTTCAACATTTAATTTGACTGATCCTTGCTTTTAAACACCAAGTTCACACATTTCATGCATGTGCGGTGGTCTCTAATAAATGAATGCCTTGTAAGAAGATCTGTGAGGGGAAAAACGCTCTGACGTTCCTTTTTCAGGAAGTAGAATTCAGCCATAGCACAGGTGAGCAGAAAACGGCAGGATTTGGAGTCTTACTTCCTGATATTGGGACATCTCGCCTCTGATTGGCTAACAGCAACACGACTCTACCGCTGCCTCTGTTGGTTTTGAAACGTTTATGTTTTATCCCCACAAATAACACAAGCCTGAAGGAGTACTGTCGTGTGGTGGAGTTGCTAATGCTAACGGTTAGCTTCTACTAGCCGAGGCGTTCTCTGCTCTCTCCTAGACGCTAAATCAGCAACTTTCTCGTCACGAGCCAAGACGCTTGAGTCGAGGAATGCTAATTTTTACAAAGTGGCGTAGATCTGTGCGGCTTTTTCCGAGCCAAGCCTTTCCACGTCTATTCTCTATCAGAAGCCGATGCAGAAAAAAGGGGCAGAAGACTATGTTCACGTTCAGCTTGCATGTGAAACTCGGAATGACCGATCGTGTTACAAAAATAACAAGTAAACCAACAGTTTCTCAGTGAACTTGGTCTTTAACATTTCACCTGACTTTTATCTAAAACTTTGACATTTAGCTGAGGGAATGAGCCTCAACACAAACTCTGAGTGCTAACACGTGACCTCCCAACATCATGGCAGCATTTGACCAGTAAGGCTATAATTGCATTCATCCCAACACAAGATTATCTTAGTTCAACACTCTGACATGAGAGATGATGAACAACAGGACTTCATTAAGCGCAGCAGTCTGAAATGTCATTACAACTCTGCAGCACATTATTTCTTATCTGCACACTATTTTGCACGCACTTTTCATAGTCACTAAGGAAAATTTGCATCTTCGTTTAATAGTTTCGCCTTAGCCAGCGATGGTACCTTGGGGCGACACTGATCCAATTTATTCAAAATACACCCATCTTTGGCTCATAATCTCCTATTTTGCACAGATCTGGCGTCACACGTCTCTCTTTGCTCGTGTTGGATTCACTCTCCATCCCTTTCATGGCTCTTTCATTTTCTCTCACCCTTTTCTGCCATCGCTTCGCCTCGTCGTCTTTTTTCTTCTTGGCGTCTTCCAGCTGGGAGATCTTAGAGGTAAGCTCCTCCAGCTCAGTGGCCTGCACAACCATGCACACAAATGGAATAGAAGAGTTAAGAGTACTTCTGATCTCAGGTCATTGTGCTCTGTCTGTGCGTGTGATGTGTGCAAGAAGGAAGGGGCTTGTGTGAGTGTGAGTGTGTGTGTGTGTGTGTGTGCGCGCGAGTGCAATTTATGTTTACATGCAGAACGGTGGCTCTAGTTTGGCTAAAAGTGATGCTTAAATGCTGAAATGGGACGGGAAAACGCGAAACAGGATAGTTTGGAATTTTCTTCACTGGCAAAATGTGTTTCTGGCTTTGAGAAATTAATGATCCTGCAGATTTAAAAATAGTGTGAAATTCATCGACATTTATGGCAGTAAGTTTGTGAGATAATTAGTTATTAATCTGAATAATAAAATTGGATTATGATTACCAGGCTCTCCTGGCTTTGGGTTTCAGAATCATGTAGCAGAGCTGCTTTAGCCTCCACTGCAGCTTTGTGGTCCATGTCCAAACGCTCTGCCTCTTCCTGAGCAGTCGTTCTTTCCTTTTCTAACTCCAGCACTCTACGAGTTTGCTCCTCCAGTTCTGAGAAAGGAAAATGAAACATAAAAACGACATCCACACGTGCACTAATCATCCCTCTACACACCTGAATACACGGTACGGCTCCAATAAAAACTGTTTTACCATAAAAACGTACTTCCTGAGAGTTGTTAAAGACAAAAAGTAAAAGTGGAGTTAATAAACATTTGTATTCAGAGAGTTGTCGGACCATCTTGAGCTCTCTTTGTCTGCTCTTCAATCTGTCTCAATCTTTCCATCAGCTCCATGGTCTCCCGAGCAATCTTCTCTGTTTCCTTCTCGGCATTTTCTCGCTTTTTTTTCTCACTCTCCAGCAGAGCCCTGACAAGGAGAATTGTGCATAAATACACGTCTGATAACAAAAAATAATAATAATTCTGACAGTTTTTTTTTCTTAAAGTAGAGAGAACACAGCGTAAACTGTTAAATAAAAGGATTTATTATTTCTCCCCTTTCTTGCACCTCTCCATTTGCCTCTTGTTCTTCTCCTCTCTGGCCTGCGCCTTCATCTGCTGCACCTCGATGGTGTCGGGTTTGCGTCTGCGCATGTACAGGTCGTGATTTCCCATGCATAATGCCAGGATGCGTTTGTTGATGCGAAGACGGGGCACATAGAAAACAAAATCCTTCAACAAAAAACAAAATCAACAATTGTGATTAATCAATATGACACAGCAACAGATCTCTTATTTCTCGGCATGGGTTTGTGAGTTCTAAAGGGACAGTTTTGTTTTTGAAGACTTGTTTTCTTTCTGTATTTTTTCTTCCCCAGACTCTTGGATGATTCCTTGATTCTGGGCATGGAGTCAAAAGACGGGCGGAGGGGCTGAACTCGTGTCTGCAAATGAGATCAAGTAGCAGCTGCTGTTGAAACTCTACTCGCTGTAATTTATGCCGGTGCAAATTGATCATTTCAACAGTAACAAATGGGTTTCTGTCACACCTCCTGTTTACAGTGAAAGAAAAAAAAACAGATCTGCACCCTTTTGAAGACACGTTTAAAGACCTTAAGGCTTGTGTTTTCACAGCCGAAACTGTTAGCACAAAGTTGTCTAACTGAGGGAGAAGGAACATTTAATGACTCCACAAGCTTTAAATTAAAATAAGATCAAAAAGACCATTCCAACAAATCTAACTTCCCTAAATAAGTCCTGCAAGTGCTCTCTGTTCCATGTGCCAAGGCCTTAATAAAGTTTGTTCATTAGTTGTTGTTTTTTTCTCACCGGGGCTTTCTTGTCGATCGGCTTGATGACAAATTTCTTGTCATTAAATGAAATGTTTCTTATTTCACTCCAGGGGAAGCCAATCTTTGGAGTCATCCTGTAAAGAAACAGTTTTGTATGTAAGAATTTACCAGAACCAGAAGACACTAGCTGTTTGTGAGACGACGTGTGGTTTGAATTAAAGCATCTTCATGCAAACGTGCTGATGGTGGCGTTAACATGTCCGCCGTTTCAGTTTGGCACAAATGGATTTGCCAGTGGAAGCAGCTGCCAATACACAAAGTAGAGCTTGTGCAGATGTTTAGTGATGTGAGTATACAAATATTTCACAATACTTCACTCAGAACCATAACTGCCAGTCCTACGGTGGGTGGCAAGAAAACACACAAAACAAGCAAAATAACAGAAATCAAATGACAACATTTCTAGAATTTCTTTATAAAAAATCTTTTTGGATCCACGAGTTTTGTTTTGGTGCGATTTAAGTCCAGAAATGATGTCCTACTTGTCCTTTTTGTCGTAAATATTCAGCCCCAGCGCATCCACGCCCAGCCACAGCTCTGACCCTTTCTTGTTCTTAATGTTGAAGTAGTTGACCCCGTACATCTCCAGGTCCTGGGCTATCTTCAGATACTCCAGCATTGCATCCTCTCTGTGGTGCAACAAGACTTTGGTAAAACTTGACAGAGAAAGAAACCATTTTTGTAGTGAGATTTCAGCACCTCAGCATTCCCTTGTGCTCTTCGTGCCACACCTGGATCCTTTCCTCCCACTGATTCTTATTCAGCTTGTGCTGCTCCAAAACCCTGGTGTTAGCAGTAAAGAGGGCCGGCCCATTAGAATTCAGGTGACTAAAACTGGAATTACGGCGAACTTTGAGTTTTTTTTTTTTACTTATATGCATGGGATGCTCTACCTTTGTGGCAGCAACTTCTCCTTTGTGAGATATCCAGGGACGTGGTAATCTTTCCTGTAGTCCCCATGTTTGACCTGAACAGCGTACGAGGCCAGAAGCACCGCCGTCTCCGGTGGACAGTAAATGTCGTCGTTTAGGATGCTCTCCTTCACCTAGAGCAGTGAACCAGGACAGGACTGTCTGTGTAAACGTGCCACTCACAGTTGGTAGTTTTATTGTTTCTCACAAAAAAGACAAACAACACGTGTTCAGGTGTTCTCGCACATGGATCTGGTTTTCGTGTGCAGAAACAGCCCACGAGTTGATGTTCACGAGTCACAGTGAAAGCCTCAATAGTCATTAAGAAGTGTTCTACATATTGTTTTCATTAAGATTCCTTATTTAATAATTCCTTTGCAGGCTACCGTGCATGTACACCACAGCATCACTAACTGGATCAAGATGGCAACCACAGCTGACAGCTGGTAGCGAAAACACTAGAAACTACAGACCTTTTCAGAAACTACTGAGTCAGCTCTGTTTGTTACCAAGAATATCCCACAAACCACTGGATGGTTTTAATTACACTTCTAGAAAGTAATAACTGGATGTCCATCAACCGATTAACTTTTGCAGTCTACCCAGTTCAAGATGGCTGCTTAGCAATCGTACACCAACAACAGCAAAAACGGAATGGAACTCATTTGTTTACATGCTAAAATCAGGTATGAACATAGCGAAGAGTAATCTCTGACACACGCTCAGAACGACTGCCAATCGTACGAGCTCTTTGAACTTTAAAGGTGCATTATGTAAGAATGAAGTTAGAATGACAACCTGTGGTCAAATGTGGTTACTGCAGCCCAGTTTCCAAATGCAGTAAGTTCAGTAGATAGATACATTTCACTGTAATATCTGTTTGTTGGTAATGGAAAACGATACTTGAGATTCTTTTAGAGCCGACTTTTTGCATCTTATTTAGTGTTAGCTCAACATTAGCCTATACACTTCTTTATCCGGCTGAGAAGGAAATCTGTTTCAATGTAATATTCCTTTCAACACAATTAAGAAATTTGGCTGTTTTATGATTATTTCACTTTAAAATTCTTACATAATGTACCTTTAACGTTGCCATTAGCTCAGTGTTTGCAAAAACACGTTGGTAATGTCCGACGTGTTTTAATATTGTCTGACGAGAAACACGTCTGACCGGCATGGGTCTTATTTTAACCTGCCAAAATAAAACGAAATTCTTGAAAATCCCAAACTGCTGACTGTTTGCTGTGAGTCCGTGACAATAATCCGTCAGAGATCATCTCTGGTCTCTGCAGCTGCTTGCAAGAGCATTTTAATTGATCTGCGCACTGGGAGCTTTCAGCAGCTGTGGTACAAAAGTAAGATAACTTAATCTCTTAATATCATAACATTTGTATTAAACTAAAATAGCAGACACAATAACATTTAGCACCCTAACGTTATATGATTATCTCTGATCATTTTCTGATCAATCCTGTTGGTTTAGTTTTCTGAACCTGATGTGGTTCATGTAGCAGAAAATCACATTAATGGTTCCTTTTTAAAATTATTTCAACAGATTATTGTCACAGTAAAAATATCTGTAATATGTAAAGGTCAGAGGTCACCTCAAAGCCCACTTTTGAATGGATACAAATCTGAGGCCCACGAGGACATTGTCCTATGTGGATTAAAAGTGTCCCACGCTTAGCAGTCATGGTTCAAACGCTTTACCACAACACGGCTATCTAGTAGTCAACCCAGTCTGGAGGAGGAAATGATCAGATCAGAAAAAGCCAGACTCTTCTACATGACAAGGAAACTTAGTATTCATGGTCATTTTTGCTTGTGACCACAGAAGAAGAGAACAGAGTGAGTCTCCGCTTGTAGAGGCTAACCGTTTAGCATTAAAACGATCACATAAAACGCTTCGCTGTTTTAGGAGAAACATGCAAATATTACCATTTTGAAATGAACAGAAAGAGATAATAAATAAATGTGTCATTTCCCTTTAGCAGAGCTGCTTGACTGAAACAACAGTTTCACCATCATGTCTCAACATAAACTAATCAGGGTTTAAAACTGGTAAGACAGGCAGTGGGCAACGTGCATTCTTTCAAGGAATCCCAGGCCTTTAATTTCTTATTGAGCTTCAATAACTCCAGGATGAAGTAATTGTAGGGTGTTAATCCTTTCCATTTGCATGAAGAAACAGAGATGAACTGAAATCCGACCTGCAGAAAGAAGAGGCGCTGCGTGGCCTCCTGGATCAGCTCCTCGGCCACATCCTCCGGGTAAAACTTGGCTCTGAACTTGATCAACAAAGGATTGTCCTTCTTCACGTCCTGAGCCATCACCTGGGATGGAAGCCCCACAGGAAGGGAGTTGGAAAATTGAGACGTCGATTAGTCGCAGCGAGGTTATGATGTTTGGGGTTTTAGGATTCAAACGTTCACCTCACCCTCTTGTTCATCTTCAGCCAGGTTGAGTAGCCTTTGCTGTCTTGATACTGGAGACCAAAGAACCACGTTTCCCTCAGCCCGATGGTCTTCACTATCTGAACACATCAGTGAATGGAGTCATCATCACATGTTTTATTCTCTCAGAGGATATATCTGATTGTGATTCACGCGCTACCTGGTCAAACAGCTGTTTGCCAGTTGTGCTGGGCAGGATGGCAAACTCCAGCTCTGCATCCATTGTTGTAACTCGGACATTTATCTACAGGAGAAAAGAGTGCAGATGAGCTCCCTGCTCTTCGTGCAACTGAGTCACCATGGAAGCATTAAGGAGCATGCAGCTGGGTGCAGAAAGAGCACCACCACCACCTCCATATGACTTTGATTATTCTTTAGTTCAACTCTAAATTTCCTGTCTTTTTTAGACCTAAAGGAGTTTTTTTTCTGACATTCTTTTGCGCAATTAAGAGGTTGGTCACACAATTCATCACAGAATCCATTATGTGATTTTTAAAAAAGGTGTGGTTGATGGGTCAAAGCAGTGACACCATGTGCTGCATTTCTTTACAGAAGCTATTCTAGACCGACTTGTCAAGCGAGGGCAAATAAGCAGAAAAAGTAGGATTTATAATTTGCTGAATTCATAATAAAACTGTCTGAGATACGCGGCGCAAGTCTCACATCCTAAACACGCTGTTTAAATTCAAAAAAGAAATAGAAAGAAAAAATAGAAACAAAGCTTGATGTTTCTGCAATTTGGGAACAATTCCATGAAAAAAACCATCAGGAAAAGTTACACCTAGAGGAAAGCTTGCAGGTGTAGCTTCAGCTACACGTCGTTCATTTAAACTTAGATTTTAGCCAAGCATTACAAACACAACACAGATAGCTGTACTTACTGTTGACATTTGTATGTTTTAGCAGTGGCTCGAGCCCTTCTTCAGAGAGGTGCTTGCTGCAGCCGCTTCTTTGCACAGTCATATGAAAGGGCTTGCAATACCTCCAAGGATTACACCGAGTGAGAATGGGTCTTTGTATTGTTCCAAAGTGCCTCTTGTTTAGTTAATCCAACTGCAGCCCCGGTCAAGACATTTTAAACAGGCGGTCCTTACCTTCTGTAAACACATTACTTCTCAAACTGCCCAAATGATTTGACTTGGTGCCACTCATCCTATAGACACAATTGAACTTTACAGCAGTTCGAGACGGTTTAAGTCTTGGGTTTTTCTCTGTAGAAGCCAAATGTCCTCCCTCTGCACGCTTGAGTGTTCCAGTGTGTCTGTATTTAAACTACACAAGCTGGAATTGCCTTATTGGTTTCGCTGCTGGACCAGCACAATATTCTTTGTTCCAGGACCCACACTGAAGCGATCCAATCACATTCCAAAGACAATAGTTAAGCTGGTTTTCTGCATCAACTCACATGCTACAGCAGCTAAGTGAATGCTTTTGACGTTGTGCAAAAGAAACTACGATGACTGTATTTCAGAACAGGTTTTAATAACGAATTCTTTCAGAAAATGCATAGAGACTTGCTTATAGAGCAATACTCAGTCTTTAGATAACAACAGGAGAGGATTTTTTCACAAGCTTCAGGTGTTTTTAAAGTATTCTGTGGTACATACAGTGCCTTGCAAAAGTATTAATACTTTTACACATGTTGACACTTCACATTTTATTATTTAGAAAAATAAAAAACTGTGAAAAGAGAGGCTGAAAGTAGCAACCATGGTCCTGGAGTGTTACTGCCCAAAATGTTTTAAATGTTTCCCTGTTCCCCAGGTTCCGCTGCTCCAACACACCTGATTTTAATTAGTAAGCAATTAACATGGGGCGACGGTGGCACAGGATTTAAGTGTTCGCCCCGTAATCGGAAGGTTGCAGGTTCAAGTCCATCAAGTCTGTCGCTGTTGTTGTGTCCTTGGGCAAGACACTTCACCCACTTTACCTGCTGGTGGTGTTCGGAGGGATTGGTGGCACCTGTGTACGGCAGACTTGCCTCTGTCAGCGGTGGCTACAATGTAGCTCATCGCCATCAGTGTGTGAATGTGTGTGAATGGGCGAATGATTGGTTGTGTTGTAAAGTGCCTTGTGGGGTTAGGGGCTTCCAAACTGTATCCACATGCTATTGGACAACAAACATCATAACATACTCACCACTTCAGATACCGTACCATACCACTTTATTTATATAGCACATTTAAAATACAGTGAGAGCTAACCCGTGATGTCAGTCTTTGGGCCAACCCGCCATACTCCTTCAAAGAAGACGCAAACACTTGCTTTTTCTAAATGAAGGACTTAAGTATCTCTATCTAGTTTTGACTCAAAGATAAGCCCAAGTCTAAATAGTCCAGAGTTGATGCTAAAGCTGTGTTAAATGAGCCAACGCCGTCTTAGTGGCTTTGCTCCATTGCATCTTTCGATTCACCAATCCTGCTCACTTCAGACTTCCAGTAGAAGTCAGAGACCTGCATGCTGCAGAAATGTTCAGATAACTCGTCAGTTGTCGGGTGTATCAGAGATGGTCATGAAAGGAGTACAGAGAGCTGGCGGACTGCTTTGGGCCATGTTGTGGAAACAATCAGCTAATCACAAATGTGAATTAAAAAAAAGAAGACTGTTGTAGATTTCAGAAGAAGTAGGTCAAGCTTCATCTGCATCATGGAAGAAGATGTGGTGGTGGTTAGAGTATATAAATTCCTTGATGTCCACCTGGACTTCTGACACGTCTGGAGATGCAACATTGAAGCCATCTACAAGTAGAGGCAGAGTAGGTTCAGGGTTACCCAGCCAGTGACACCGCTGAGGTGTGAGCCATCAATCAATCCAAGCAACATCGAGTTGTTTCAATCAGCTTCTGGTTGGCAGCGTGGGCAGATGCTGAAGTCCTGCTGAAGAATGAAATCAGCATCTCTATGAAGCTTGTCAACAAAAGGAAGTAAGAAGTGCTTGAAAATGTTCTGGTGGTTGACTGTGGACCAAAACCAGCAGATGACATCATCACTGACTGTGGAAACTTTACACTTGTGGATTCTGAACCTTTTCACTTTTCCTCCACACTCATGGACCTTGATTTTGAAAAAATCTGCTGACTTTTTTCCCTCTGCAACTGCGAACCATTGAGCAACGGTCCAGGGACTTCAATGTAGTATTCTTATTAAAATTCTACTTTGCATGCGCGATTCATTTTTATGCTGTTGAGTAAACCTCTGTCTGTAGCACGGAGCTGCAGTTCCGGAGCTGCCGATCAGTGTGGGAACTGGAGAAGTGAATAGCTCTGTGTGTATGTGTGTGTGTGTGTGTGTGTGTGTGCGTGCGCGTGTGTGTGTGGGTGCACCTATTCTCCGCATCGGAGCTCTTGGCCTGGGGAGCAGACAGCTGCTCAAACGAGTAATCAGTGTGTGTGGCACAAGAGTATGAGGACACACAAAGCAAATTAATAAAATAATGTGATTCAGAGTCTCCAAAAATAACACAGTGCATGCCCGCCTTTGTTTACTTTAGAGGACAGCGCAGACTTTCCCGCATGTATTAAACGCCGTCCACAGGCTCAGGGATTTCCACATTCATGAGAAGTCCCTCAGATTTATATGTAAACACTACACCGCCCGTTCAACACCGAACTCACGCCATCCAGCCCAACCAAACCCCGACCATGCCGACCCTAATGTGTAAGCACCATAAGTATCTCAGGGTCTTGTTCACAAGTGAGGAAAAGCTGGAGTGTGAGATTAACAAGCAGATTGGATGTTGCGTCTGCAGTCGTTGTACCGGTCTGTTGTGGTGAAGAGAGAGCTGAGCCAGAAGGTGAAGCTCTCAATTTACTGGTTGATCCATGTTCCTACCCTCATCAGTGGTAACGAGCTTTGGGCAGTGACCGAAAGAACGAGATCGGGGATACAAGTGGCCAAATTGAGTTTTCTCCCCAGGGTGTCTGGGCTCTCCCTTAGAGAAAGGGTGAGAAGCTTGGTCATCTGGGAGGGGCTCGGAGTAGACCCGCTGCTCCTCCACATCGAGAGGAGCCAGTTGAGGTGGCTCGGGCCTCTGATTAAGATGCTTCCCTGGTGAGGTTTTCTGGGCTTGTCCAACTGGGAGGAGGCCTAAAGGGAGACCCAGTACATCTTGGAGGGCATATGTCTCTTGCCTGGCCAGGGAACCCCTGGAAGAGCGGGCCCAAGTGGCTGGGGAGGGGAAAGTCTGGGCCCCGTGGCTTAGGCTGTTGCCACAGAGAAAACTCTTTCCTGAGATTTTAAACTTTTTCCTCGGTAAAACCACTAAATCATGAAGTTTATCTTGAAAATTACTTTAGCAACTTTCAGTCTCAATTTTGTGTGTAAGCAAGCTTTATAAATGAGGCCCCACTTTTTTCTCCTAAGTCCAGGTAAGGTGCTTTGGACGTTGTCTCTGGTTCAGGAGTGGTTTGACAGAAAGCATATGACATCTGTGCTGTAGCTCATGTGTTGGACTGGTCTTTTCGAAGGTGCTTTGGTTCCAGCCTCAGTTCTCTCCTAGTGAAGATCCCTCAAATTCCTGAATGGATTTAGCCTGACAGTCCTCTCAGGGCTGTGATTCTCCCTGTTGCCAGTGCACCTTATCCCACTTTCTGCTTCCACTCATTTTTCCATGAATAATCTTGGACCAAGCTAGCCTAGTGAACTAGACCAAATTCTTGCTTTGCAAAGAATGGTCTAGGCACCCTCCATTGGAACCTCAGCAGCTCCTACCAGGACTCTGGCTAGCCAATCACAGCTCTCTAGAGGGGTTTCAAACACATAAAGAGCTGTGATTGGTCCATAATGGTGGGTCAATCATAGTGCTCTATCTGCTTAGTGAACAAATCACAGAGCGTTATCTGCTTTGTGGGCCAATCAGGGCACTCTATATGCCTGGTGGGTGGGATGATGCAACAGAGTGAAACAACATTCATTGTCCAGTGGAATGCAGAGATCATTTGAAAGACAACGGTAGAACCCCCCCCCCCCCCCCCCCCACACACAACCGAGAGCCGTCAATGGAGCGTGGCCAGACTAAATAATACATTTATTTAGTCTGGCTTGCCAGGCTATGACCAAGCAGCTTGCCCAGCCTGTTGACTGGGCTCCAGATCACCTGGGCCATTTTTCTTCACCTTTATCCTAAAATTCATACAGAAATCTGCAATTTGAAATCTTTCAACAACCACCACAAATGGCATAATTGTAAATTTGTGGAACCTTCTAGAGTCCCAGAACCTCCAAGATTCTTTACAACACAACAGTCATTCACTGATGCATGAACATATTCACAGGGGAGAATATGTTCTGGTGTATCACATCATATCATATCATATCATATCTCATGTCATATAAATTCGTTTCACTTATTGTATTGAATCATATCAAATCGTATGGTATGTATCATATAATATATAATATATAGTATTGTATCATATCACATTTCATATCGTATCAAATCAGATCAAATATTTCAGATTCCAGAAATCACAGGATGAGATGGAGACTCTTGTGCGAGCACATGCGAATGATTACTTGTCGATGAATGGTAGATGGTAAATTCATGAGAAGGATTGAATTTGCGGGATGCATCATCAGTCGTGTACCTCTGGGCCATGGGGTGTATCTGCCTTTGACACTATACACCCTACCCAGACACGGCCAGCTGTAGGTAAATCAGACCCCAACTTGCACCCCAAGTTATATTAGCTCTGAGAGTTGCCTTGATGTCAAGTGGTGAAGGTCTCAGGGGTTTGTGCATGGCATCCTGATCCCTGAGCTATGTCAGAAACGCCCATTTACCTCCTGGCACACTACTTGGGGGCCCAACTGGGGTCATTCATCTTCAGCTAGAGCCATTGGCTGCTTCTTTCTGCTGCCTCTGATGCAGCTTTAATGGCTGTGCGCTCTTTTTGTCCTTTGATTCCCACATCCCTCAACAATTTTGTGGTGGATGTTCCCAAAAACCGGCTGCACCCAACTTCCACTGAGTGGACTTCCCTGTTCCAGCCATAATTTTTTGCTTCTGCGGCTAGGTTGGCATACTTCAGATGATTCAGCTCAAATGTCTCCTCCATGGAATCCTCCCAAGGTACGGTGAGTTCAATTATGTAGGTGTAGTTCCTTCACGAACAAAGGCAGTTGCCGATGTTGTTGATAAGGTGTTGGGCATGGGCAGTAACAGGGTGTTAATACTGGATCCTCCAGTGTTGCAGCAAGGCTTTTAAAACTTGGTTGTGCTTAGACCAAGGCCTCCCCTTCCTAGCCTAACTTTACTCACAATATCAGCATGCCTAAGAGCCGCTGTTGCCTCCTCTACTGCTCTTGCTGGTCTCCACTTGCGCCCAGTGACCAGGGCCGGTGCATTTTCTATGATCACCGGATCTGTGGCTTTGTTCAAGGTCATCTGTAGCCGTGTTTGGCACATTTAAACTCCTCTGTCAGGCTGGTGAGTGGCAGCTTTAAGACTGTCTCCGCAGAGGCTTATGGTGATGAGGCAGTGCAGAACTCCCAGCCATTTCTTGATGTGGGCTGTGACTCTTCTCTCCAGCTTCTCTATTGTCTTGATGAACACCTCATAGACTATCAGGGGCCACAATATTTGAGGTAACAAACTGTACTGGAAGCACCAGACCTTTAATTCCCCAGGTAATTGGGTGCTGTCAATCGCTTGAAGGCCGTCACTACACAGTTGCTTCACCTGGTCTTTATCTTTCAGGTTTACGTCGTAGTGCCTTCCAAGGCCTTTGACTGGCTGCTCAGATACAGTGGGAATTTGGTAATCACTGATGAAGAGCTGCAACTGAGATGCTGCGTGACTTAAGCTTAATTTATACCTCTCAATGAGCTCCACATGGGAGAGGCACGCACGCAAGTACGGAGACGTTTTGCCTTCAGACTTCATCTCCTGGGGAGTGTTGCAAAGCAATTCCCTGCCAGGACAACAGAGGTCGTAGAGCTGTTTTGTGGTACACTGTCATGTATCCGGTCCAAGATAGTGCATTTACTATTGTGTTTTTTGCATTTAAGAGAATTTTAACATGGACAATTTGTCTCTCCTTCTCCTCCACCTCTTCATGGTCTCACCACCTTTAAACCCACGTTTCCCATCATTTCCATCCACAAATAAAACGCTTGCTGCATATATTTTCACTCCTCCAGTCACAGGGGAATAAAACGTTCATAATTTTAGAGTTTTTTCACAAGGGATTCTTCAAGCTGCTTTGTGGCTGTCGCTAGATATGTTCAGCCCTGGCAGCACTGGCGTCCCGATCAATCACAATTCAATTCAAAGAAACTTTATTAATCCCAGAGGGAAATTAGAGCAAGCTTGTGTTCTCCGTCTTGTCGGACGGATGTTTAGAAAAGAGAGCTTGACTTCGTTCGTCCTTGCAAGCCTGTTGGAGAGCCCTTGAAAGGACGGATGATGGCGTTGCATGCGTCCGTTCCAAAGACGGAGAAGTATGAATTAGGCTTTAGATGGTTTAATCTTCATATGGGCCCAACTGATTTTCTCCTCAAGTTTTCTGAGTAACCTCCTGGTGCATGGGACGCTGGTAGTCAGAGTGGTAATGCTGTCCATATAGACTCAGATTGGAGGGAGACGCCTGCAAGAGCCGAGTCTTTGCCGAGGCTCAGATGATGATCTCCATCGCCATGGTAAAAGCCAGGGGAGAGACAGTGCATCTAGCTATGATGCCTACTTCCAGGCACTGCCAAGGCGTAGTGAGGCAAAATTGCAGGTCCTGAAAGTATTCTTTTACTAAGGTTGTGATGGTGTCCGGGATTTTTAAAATCCCGAAAGCAGTCCAGAGGAGCTCGTGGGGCACAGAACCGAAGGCATTTGCCAGGTCCAAGAAGATCACGTGGAGGTTTCTTTTTTCTATCTTTTCCAATTGAATCTGGTGCTGGATCATGCTAGAATGTTCTAGGCAACCAGAGAAGCCAGTTAGTCCTGCCTTTTGTACCGATGTAGCCACATACTCGTTTCTGTGCAGGTACTCAGCCATCCTTTGTGCAATTATATAGTATTGTAGCATATCATATACAGTATTGTATTGTATCATGATGTATCGTAATGTATCATATCACATTATATCATATCTTAGTACAAATGATCTTCAGCTCTCCAATGAAATCTTACCCCAAAACCTGTAATATGTAATTATTATGTTTGCTTTTATGTTATTTTACTTGATCACTTCTTTCCTTTTAATTGCATTTCTTGTATCTGATATTTTGTTTCAAGTACAAGTTTTAGGATTTGGAAACATTTTAAATAACAAGAAGTTAAGATAAAAGGAAGAAACCTTAAAGATTATGTGTTACATAAAGGTCAGCAGTCAAATTTCAGCAAATTTGTTCCTTGACTGTGTTACTTCCTTTGTACAAAAGGTCAGATTTCCTTAAGTTTTATTCCTTGGATTGGAGCACGTGTTTGGAGGGAACTATGGAATTAAGGCTTGTTGAAGTAAATGTACCAGCAGTCATTTTTTACCTGTTAGAAATATGGGTGTGACCTAGGCCTCCAGCTGAACACTGCTCATGATACAGACTATGACAACAATACAGAGAGAAAATGTCGGAAGGTAAATTGTTTTTCTAAGCAAACATAAAACTTTGATCCTGGAACCGTGGCTAGACAAAGTGTCTCCAGAGGGGAATGCTTTGTGGAAACAGATTCAGCTGTATCCAGAACTCTTTTAGGCTAAAACTGCTAAATCCTCTAGATATTCTTAATAAATTAACGCTGTCTAGAAAAATCAGGCAAACAACCCCCCAAATTCTGATGAGGAAACTATAAACTACTAATGGATAAGTCCAAGACAGACATGTCAGGCTGAAGCAGAAAGGCTTTAGCAAGAAGACACACAAGGAGAATGACTCTGCTTAGCATAGTGTCAACTGTCATTAACGTTCCTCCACTGTCTCAATCAACACATGAAAGGCATCAATGAGAGTTGTAACAGAATAAATGACACTACTACAGCTGCGTTTGAAATGAAGGGTCACTGTCTGATGATGCTTTTTAATACAACGATCAGGTTTCCACATGGCATTAAAGAGACCGCTTTGGCTTTGGAAAACAGCTTGACCTCTTACTCTTTAACTCTGCTCTGCCGCCATGTTTCCTATCATCAATATGAAGGCTATGTTTTGTCAGAAACCTGAGGCACAGCCATATTTATATCAGGTGAATACCAGCTGCATGCAGATTAGGTTGGGCAAGCCAGAGGTGAACAGATGAAAACCATCCACTACAACTCAAAGAACTCTCTGAAATTCAACAGCAGAAAACAAGAACCCAGTTAAAAGACACAGTCAATTATCTTCCAGGGTTATTGCATAAAATAATGGTTGTCTTGTACTGGTCTAGGGAGTTGGATAGGCCAACACGGAGCATATACTGTAAGGTCTATTCAGGGGTTCTGGAGAGGAGGGTCCGTCGGATTGTTGAACCTCAGATTCAGGAGGAGCAATGTGGTTTTCATCCTGGCCGTGGAACACTGGACCAGCTCTATACCCTTAGGGGGATCCTGGAGGGTAAGTGGGAATTTGCCCAACCAGTCTACATGTGTTTTGTGGATTTGGAGAAGGCGTTTGACCGCATCCCTCGGGGAGTCCTGTGGGGGGTACTCCGGGAGTATGGGGTACCAGGCCCTCTGATACGGGCTGTTAGGTCCCTGTATGACCGGTGTCAGAGCTTGGTCTGCATTGCCGGCAGTAAGTCGGGCTCGTTCCCAGTGAGAGTTGGGTGAGAGTTGGACTCCGACAAGGCTGCCCTTTGTCACCGATTCTGTTCATAACCTTTATGGACAGGATTTCTAGGTGCAGCCAAGGTGTGGAGGGCATCCGTTTTGGTGGCCTGAGGATCAGGTCTCTGCTTTTTGCAGATGATGTGGTCCTGTTGGCTTCATCAGAACGTGATCTTCAGCTTTCGC